TTTTCACTGATATTTACGTCCCGCAACTGTTTTACAAACTGTTGAGTGTTGGATAAATGTGCAGGAACCTTTGTGAGCAGTTGGCTTACGATCCTATTCAAAAACCATGATATTCTATCTGTAGGGCCTCCAACACAACTTATGATCGGCCGTATCTTGAATATTGTCGCAGACATGGAGTCGAGCTCGCTTGCCGTTATTTTGTGGGTCTTTACGAGATGATAGAACACTGGGCATACTGGGTTATCCAGCTTCAGCCTGGTTACAAGTTTCTCGTCCAATCCTACAGATCTTGCTACGCTAACCCACATTTCGTTAAGTCTTTTGCATTGTGTCTGGTATTCTTTCTTACTGGAGCGCTGGTATACAGTGACATCAGAGAGATGTAGCTCTGCAAGTTGTCTATCTAACGTTTGCGGCATTACCACAAAATCACCTCCCTTGTCACTAACGAAAACGCGAATGGAGTGATCTTTTAGAGAATTGCGAATTTCTTTGAAGCCTTGGTACTGTTCTCGCGTCAAGTTATTATAGCGCACGTGCTTGAATCTACTCAAAACACTGAAAATTTCACTTGAAAGTACGCGAAATTTAGCGTCGACGGAAGGCATCGGATCTGGTTGTTTATAGAAGGAGCGAGGAAAAGGCAATGACAATTGTTGTGCAACCGATGGTGAAGGTTGTGGGTCAGTCTCCTGCTTAGCTCTAATCCTCAACATGTCACGCAATCTATGTAAATTTCCCATAACCTTACGGCAGATAGAAGCGTTAATGTTTTGAGACGGTGAAAATGATGGTCCGAGGCTTAAAAACTCTTTTGCATTTGGTGATAACTGAACGTTACCAATAACGGTCACTCTTGCGCTCTTGTCTTCATTTGGAATTAGACTCTCTCGAAATCGGTGGTCATCGGTCGAACATTTCTGGACATCGGAATGCTTCCCACGTAGTGTGCTCGAAAGTCTGTCGTACTTAAGCAGAGTCTGGTTTTGGCCTTAGACCGAATTGAATCGCAGATTAACTTCGATCCGCTCTCGATCTCCTTCCAAACATTAACAGGCAAATAACGTTTACAATATGATTCCTTAGCTTTACATTTCAACAATGTACTATAAACAATTCGTTGTCTTTCCTTGATAACGATCTTCAACACGTTGTTATACAAAGTTCTTATCTTCGGGTCATTCTCGGAAAGACCGCAGGTAACTCCTAATTTCTTTCTTGAAATGAAAGCGGGAAGGAGATCGTTTTTTCTGCAGTGGTTTCTCAGTGCTGACATCTGTTTCGGCGCCCTGCGTTGATCCACTTACTGGTGGTTTCTCAGTGCTGACATCTGTTTCGACGCCCTGCGTTGATCCAGTTACTGGTGGTTTCTCAGTGCTGACATCTGTTTCGGCGCCCTGCGTTGATCCAGTTACTGGTGGTTTCTCAGTGCTGACATCTGTTTCGGCGCCCTGCGTTGATCCAGTTACTGGTGGTTTCTCAGTGCTGACATCTGTTTCGGCGCCCTGCGTTGATCCAGTTATTGGTGGTTTCTCAGTGCTGACATCTGTTTCGGCGCCCTGCGTTGATCCAGTTACTGGTGGTTTCTCAGTGCTGACATCTGTTTCGGCGCCCTGCGTTGATCCAGTTACTGGTGGTTTCTCAGTGCTGACATCTGTTTCGGCGCCCTGCGTTGATCCAGTTACTGGTGGTTTCTCAGTGCTGACATCTGTTTCGGCGCCCTGCGTTGATCCAGTTACTGGTGGTTTCTCAGTGCTGACATCTGTTTCGGCGCCCTGCGTTGATCCAGTTACTGGTGGTTTCTCAGTGCTGACAACCGTTTCGGCGCTTTCCGTCGATAGGGTTGTATCGGCTATTGTTGTTGCGACGGTTTTTCTAGTTCTTTGTGTGGTGGTTGGTGCTGACGTAGTAGTATCTTCTTTTTCCCCTGTAATGTTGAAATACTTGAATAGAACTTGGTAATATTTTTTACTGTGTTACAATGTTTACGGCATCTAAGCTTCCTTCAACAAATCCTTTTCTCTTACATTACTTAGAATTTATTCTATACCCTCATGCTATATCATTAAAGCGGTTGAATTGCATTGAAACATTTGGAAGGTGACAGCAGCTCTCCAAACAAAACTTGTTGTCGTTCAAGTTTGCTAGGCCTTGAAAATTTAGCAGTCCGACCGAATTCTATATAGACATTGAGACTTTTCGTACTTTTTATAGTAGGTAAAGCACTTATTTTTTGATTAGTCATTAACTTTTAACAGCATGTGCTAAACGTTGAGTCCATCGTAAGCATTGCAGGAAAAGTGAAAGACGTGTCTTCAGTCCTACAGGAATTTGAGTGAACTACGAGTTTAGCACAAAGAAGAATACGCGAGTTTTAGACAACTCTAAAATTCTCTACCCAAAGCCAGGTAATTAGCTATTATGCTTTCCTGCTAAGTGAATGAAGATTTGCTTAGAGGGTAAGCTTAGTTCTTAGCGTGTATCCTCATCACTCATTTAGCGGAAATAGTTCGAAAATTGTGTTGGCTAGATGCATAAGCATTGAATAAAGATAAAAATTCATTTGAGGTGTTTTGCAAAAAATCAGGAAGCCACATTATCTGCTTTCACGCAGCATTGTGGCAGGGTAAACACGAAAAAAGGAAAATTTTTGTAAGGCCAACTTTACATGAGTTTGAATCACTCGCATCAATGAAGACTTACATTTAAAGCAAATCTTTGGAAGACTCCAAATTTCCGAAAACAGGAAGAAATTGTATCTTTACAGAAGATTTCCTAAGGAGACCTTTTGCACACGCAAAGTTCCTTGGTTTTTTTTCATGGGCAGAAATCAAGAACGACATTTGGCATGAATTCAAGCATTTATATTCTTTTCCCTGTTAGGTAAATTTGTAGTATGAATTACCGGAAGTAAAACGTATAATTATGAACTTCTAGCTTTCTAAATCGGTAGTTTTCGGGAGATAACGAATTAGGCACAAACTAAAAACGCGACGTATTCGTAATTTTGACCTAGTTTAGTTTTTTTTTCACATTTTAGCCAAGAAATCTCACCAGTTATACGAGTGCAATGAGATACATGTATGCGGCTTTTCGATTATTCAGGAATTTTTCAAATTTTGCACAGCTCACTTGAGACGAAATTTCAAGAGATGCTTAGAGTTCTTCTTGTAGAGCTTGCTTTGCTCTAGCAAATGGTAAATCGATAAATTACCTTTTTGCTCATCTAGAAATGGTAGCATGTTGCGACATTTTTTTAATACGATGTAATCTTATATTAGGTCATCCTGAAAGTAATTTCGCTTTCTTCAAACGGACGCCATATGTGATGGAAGATTTCTGAGAGATTTTGGTAGCATTCGATACAGCATTTCATCCTCTTCCTAACAATAATGAAATCTTTGCAGCGCACTCAATGAGCTTTCGAAAAATTACCAAAATCTGCGACCCATGCTTTTTGAAACGGTCAAGTTTTAAAATCTTTCAAAACTTTTATATTAATCCTCAAAAGGAGCTCAAGTTACGATTCGATAGAGCAAACCTTGTAGAATCAGTACATCTTTTTCTCCTTTTCATATTTCGCAGTAAGTTTTTAGATTTTTTTAACAAAACCATTGGATTTTGGCAGGCCTACATCAGCCACAGCATCAAACATCCTAATTATTCGGAATTTGAGATTACCAAGATAGTACTACGAGTTAGCACTAAATTTACAAAGCAAGTGAGAGTTTATGGATTCGAAATATCAAATTCCGAGTTTTTCGGATACAGCCTGGGACTTTTGAAAAAATGATTTGTGATGATTTTATCCCCCAAAACTGAAAAAATCGGAAACAAAAAAAAAACACCCATAGAAAGAGGAAAAGATGTGCATCGAATAGTGCCCGAGCTGCTCTTCCTTGATGTTCTACGAGGATTTAGCTGTCCAAGTATGGAAATCGGCAGCATCAGTTGAAATTCTGTTAAAAAAGTATGGCAAGCGTGAAAAGGAGAAAAAATTGTTTCGCATTTTATAGGGTTTGTCCCATAAAAACGTTATTTGAACTTTTTCGGAGGTTTAAATAAAAGTTTGAAAAAATTGTGAAACTTGACCATCTCAAAAGCATAGGTCGCAAATTTCGGTTATCTTCTCAAAGCTCATTGAGTGTGTTTGCAACAGTTTCATAACCCTCAGAAATAGGATGAAATGCTGCATCGAACGCTTCTAAGATCTTTTAGAAATCTTTGTTCCATCAAATGTGGGGCCCGTTTGAAAGAAGCGAAATTACTGGGACGACCTAATACATTAGGTTTTCAAGCTTCTAGCCATTGGTGACAACAAAGTAAAGGCTATGTCTCAAAAGAGCGCCCAGACAACGCTGGCTTATAGAGGCTTTCGAGCGAAAAGGTAATCGTGGAGCCATAGTTCAACGCGATGCTAGCACAAATGATTCATCACTGCCACGAAATTCGTCTCCAACCTGTTCCCGCTGCAGTAAGGACGACATGCATCGGCTTGCACACTACTGCGCGGGAGCCTACCGACTAGGCCCGCGCAAATGCATGCAAGCGTTGCATGTCGCTCGCTGATGCGGTACAATGGACCTTTTGGAAATGAATTCTCGAGCTTAGATGAAAATTGGCTTCGTAAAAGCTCGACTGGTAGACCTGCCTGGAGCTGCCTGTGGACATCTTCATAGCGCAAATTTCAACTGTTGCTGTTTCTCTTTTCAAAAACAACCGTGAATTACTACTAATTGGATGAACAAAACTAGAAATTCATGAAATTAATCAAAGTTTCCTTCTTGCATAATTTAACCTTCCACTATTTGCTTGTTTGTAGACTTCCTGCATACCTTTAAACTCAGCTTACCCTTTTCTTTTATTTCCTCAGCAATGTCCTTGTCAGAACCAATAAACACATCATCCATTTTCTTCAACACCTCTTCACCACTTATGTTAAAGGCTTTGAAGGCATCTACGAAGGCATCCTTAATCTCCGTTGAATTCTTAGTATTTCAGACCAGGCTAAATTTCTTGCTCAGGCCTGTCTCGCTCGTTATCATTTTAGCGAGTACTTCCATTTCGGGATCATCCGCGCTGAAACAAATCTAGACATTGCGATTGATCTCATCTCATCAACAGTAAAGTGTCTTGTATGTTTAAAAGCAGCGTCCAGAAATATCTTTTCGGCCTTCCTGCATGTGCACCTTTTCATGCATGCAGGACCCAATTCTTGGCTTTGATCGGAATGAAAAGCTGGTGCCAGGGCTTTTGCTCGCTCTTCATAGCGAGTCTCGGAGACGCTAATTCAAATAGAAAGTGTAACAGCTTTGGTTTAAAAAACCTGCCACTTACAGTTTTTGCAGAGGAATGTATGCAGACCCGCTCAGTTTAGGTAAGTGGACTTAAATCAAGACCGCACGTCGAGAAACAAAAGTTTTCTCTGCGAACAAGACTCAGAATGTTGTGTGAAATGTTTAGGAGGCCAAAGTTGAGGCCACTCGCTCTTACAAGTACTTGATTTTACCGGACGCTGCCTATGCTGTTATGTGCTGCAATTCCGATACTATAAGAAACATACTTGTACGTGAAGTTGCATGGAACATAATGCACCAAAATGTCCTTCTTTCTATCCTGAGATTTACTGAGGAATGTCTTGATGGCGCTGAAATTTAAAATGTAGATAAGCTTTTATGAAGTACGAGCTGGCATCCCGGGTTCCACCCTGGTTTGAATCCAGTCCATTGTGCTTGACCTCCCAAGTAGCGAAATCCTTCTTTTAATTCAGACTCGTCTTGAGCTCGCTTTCTATTCACCGCTCTCCTTTATAAGTATGAGAAATGTGCACAAACATACAAATGTTCTGCTTTATATATATATATATACAGGGTGTCCCAAAAAAATGTGCCTACTGTTTGATTGTTAATAACTCTCTTGTAATGAAGTCTTTCGAAAAGCTTCAGGTACCATTTTGTACAGCTGGCTTCAGCTTAGACTTACAGTATGCAACGGATCGCCGATCACTCTTCGTTACTGTAGGATTACGGTGGAAACTTCAAGCATATGGTATCAATTTGAAAAAAGCTGCCGTTTCAAAAACTTTCAAAAAAATGTGAAGAATTGTGTAATAGGGTTTCCATGGACGCTCAGTTCAAGATTCAACTATGTACAAGATTGCGAAGCTTTCTAAACAATGTAACAGCAATTTTTGGGAATATTGGAAAAACGGCCGGTACTGCTTACCACGCATAACTTTTTAATAAAGCGTTATGATAAATTGCGAACTTCACACTTAGAATCCGCATCTCTAATTAGCCCAGCGTAAAAGTTTTCAGGTCGTCTGGTTTCCTTTCTTAGGCAAAATATGGCCTTTCATGGCTTAAAACCCTCTTGAAAGTTCCTACCGTAATCCTACAGTAAAGAAGAGTGATCGGCGAACCGTTCCATACTGTAAATCTAAGTTGAAGCCAGCTCTACAAAATGGTATCCAACCCTTCTTGTAAGACTTCATCGCAAGTGAGTTATTAACAATCAAACAGTAGGCACATTTTTTGGGACACCCTGTATAATATATTAGGTTGTCCCGAAAGTTCGTTCGCACCATTTTCAAAAAATCATAACTTCTTTGCGTCATAACCTTTTTAAGCAGTTTAAATTTTATTAGAAAGCGCAAAGCATGTAGTTTCCAACAGTCCGCTGGTAACTTTCCAATGTGCTCAGAGATAAGATTATCTCTGTTGCAGAGATAAAAATGAAAGAACGAAAACATCCGAAATTCGGAATTTTTGAGCAAAAATTCTAAAAATCTATAAACTGCGCGATAAAATCCAGAAAAGCCATTATCCTAATTTTTCTTATATTTGATTACTAAATGAGTTAAGTTTGGGTTGATCGAGCTCTTCTTTAAAAAGTTATGATTTTTTGAAATAAAATGCCGAAAAATCAATTTCGAAGGAATTCTTAGAAAATTGAATTTTCGGCATTTTATTTCAAAAAATCATAACTTTTGAAAGAAGAGCTCAGTCAGCCCAAACTTGACTCAGTTAGTAATCAAATATAAGAAAACTTAAGATGATGGTTGTTTTGGATTTTATCGCACAGTTTCTGAATTTCTAGAATTTTTGCTCAAAAATTCCGAATTTCGGATGTTCTCGTTCTTTCATTTTTATCTCTGCAACCTGAGCATGTCAGAAAGTCACCAAGGGAGCTTTTGGAAACTACATGCTTTGCACTTTCTAATAAAATTTAAAATGCGCAAAATTATTATGATGCAAAGAAGTTATGATTTTTTGAATATGGTGCGAACGAACTTTCGGGACAACCTAATATATATAGATTAGTGGACTGAGATTTCCAGCGTTTACATTCATATGCAATAAAATCTCTCAATTTGATTTTGAAGAAGAGTTTCTAGTTCTAATTAATCATTATGGAGTTGCATTATTTCACTGAGTTGATTAGCAATTTGGTAATCATAGTCATTTTTGTAAATACTCACCCAGTTTGGTTAAAATTATTTTGTGGCTTAGGCCTCAAGGACTTTACAGTATTTTGCGCTTCGAGAGCTTTCAAAGGTCCAATTTCTTCCACATCGTCACCATAGAGTATAAAGATGTATTGCTGTGCTGGCTTGCTCTTGGCAATCTCGCTTATTGCTTTTCCCGTGTTCTCGATATTCTGTAAAGAATTGTACTAGTTTTTTAACTCTGACAAATCTTCAGCATTGCAGCGCGTTGTTGAACCATCAAATGATTGAACCCTTGACTAGTGAAAATGAGATATGGGTTCAAGCGCTTTACTCGATCGAATTTTAAACAGCGCTGTAGGCCTCAAAGCCAGAAAAGGCCTTCCAAAAAACATCAAACCAGGTTTACGGTCACTCCCTACATTTATTTTGAAACTTATCTCAACTAAATTTGTTGATTAAAAATGACAGGCTAAGTTGTCCAGCCTCTGATCATAGCAATTTGACTCTGGTTTTGTAGCGATTTGATGGAATCGCTGGAGGTTTGTCTTGGGCTTTGAACTCACCTTTTTAAGGCTGCACTTTTCGTCGCCATTAGCTCTTGAACGCGAATGCAAGCGTGGTGATAATGGTACCTTCACTTCTTCTTCTCCCATATCTCCCTTGTATATAGAGAAATACATCACTCTGCTTTCTAAAACAAGGTAACCTTTGATTCGACTGCCTCGGAGGCTGAAAGGCGAGGTTTTGTGATAATTCAGACGCTAGCGCCCGTCAGCAGACTGGTCTCTTCCATGCGCGTGCTCATTATCAGCCGTAATTAGGTCACAAAGCACCGCCTTCCAGCTGCCAAGTCAGTTGAATCATAAGGTAGTATTTGCGATGAGGAATTTGGATTCGGGTTGGAAGAGCCTATTATGAGACAGAATTTCTCAGAGATAAAGAACCGCTGTAATTCGATTTCGCCATTTTTTTTTGGGCGCCAAGGCCCGGAACTTTTAATAATGTTTTGCGTGTGCTTTACAAAATGGCTGGTTGAGATGAGCAGCTTTTAGCAAAGATGAGCAGTAAACAGATTTGTTAAGTGATATGAAGCGACGCGTAGAGCATAAAACACTGCTGTCACCAGTTTAAGTTGAGAATATCTAGGCAGGCGCTATACTCCTCGAAAAGTATAGCATGGCGACGGGAGATCGCCAATCGCCAGTATTTCATGAGTATTGACTGCTGACAAGTCCACATGTGCAATCGATAGGCATCCAACGTGGAGAAGTCGCCAACATTGGCGATTGGCTTCGCTAATCGTAGCGATTGGCGAACGCCAGTTCTCGGCGATTACACGTTTGGTATGTATCGATTTAACGTGTGGTAACTTGTTTGCGATGAATAGGTATGTAAAGTACAGTCGCTGGTATTAGTGATTGGCGATCGCCAGTGCTAATACCGGCGACGGGCGATCGCTAGTCTTAGCGACTGGCGATCGCCAATATCGGTGACAAAAATCGCCGGTTTTACACGTATCTGGTGCGCATCGATCGTCGCCATCCTATACTCCTCGAGGAGTATAGCGCCTGCCTTAGAGATAAAAAATTGATGTGAACATGTAGAAGTGCAAATTGATACCATCGTTGCCTTTCTTTGGTTGTATTGAAGTGAGAGCCTCAGTCAGAATTGCGGTCAGAATTACGGTCAGAACCGCACCAAATATAACCACGAATAGAAACAGGCCATTCCATGGCAATTTAACTGAAAAAAATGCGAAATTTTGTCAAAGTTCCTCATCTTACGCACTCCATTTTAAATTCAAAGAAGATCTGTCAGCCTGTGGAATACTTTGATGAGATTGTCAGATCACTTTTGTCTGCTGGAGTAAAGTCTCAACAATATTTTGCAAAGCACTTTTGCAACAAAGCAATGATAGTGTCTTCTTGCTTATCGATCAAATACTATAGACTTCATTGCTCTGGCGCGCCTCTTTTAAACAGACAGTTCTACCATATCCTTTTGCACGTTTTTTCAGGCGCACCCTTTTCGCAAGCAAAAGCCTGCACAGACACTCTGTTTGCGAATTGTTCAGTACCCACAAACAGATTGAAATTGAGCAGAGTTCTGATTATTACAACAAGATCCTTTCTTATTGCACAAATATGCACAAATATGACCGCTAAACCGCTATGTATTCGATATAAACAATGAGCAAGGCTTAGAATCACATGAAAAATTGTCAATTCAGATTGCCAACTACAAATTATCCTTCAGTTTATCTTAATAGGCAGAGCTGTAGTCAAACGCCAGAGACTGAGTGCTTCCCTCTCATTCCAAAAGCATTTTCACAAGCTCAAATTTGTCGTGGAATCATTGCAAAAGAGTCCATCAAACTTTTTTCTGCATTTTATTTATAAAGTTTGACCTAATCAGCATTTGTGAGCTTTTGATAAGGAGTGTGGTACATAATGTATTCACAAGTTATAGGAATGTGGCGGTTGGTTTTCTGACTCCTCAATGTATTATCTTTACGAGAAGAATTTTTATTGCAGTGCTTGTGTAATGTTTCACATGATGCCTCTCACTCTTCTATATCTGATTAGAAGAAGACGGTAACCACTTTGCTAATGTATGAAAAAGCTGTTTGACTTTTGTCTAAATATGTTCTCGTACCGTAACTGTTTGAGGCTGAAAAAGTAAATCTGATGAATTTTGAAATGTTGATTGAACAAACATACCTTGCACCGAAGTCTTCAAAATTTGAAACTTGTCACAAAAATGGTTTATTAAACGAGTTGTACCAAAAAATTTTTATGTGACAATTACAATACGCTCCTCGAACATGATTATGTATGAGTAAGAGCTACGTGTTTTACTCATGGTTCAACTACAGAATTTTTCCAAAGGTATACGGATAAATGGGCTGCTGCATGACGAAGGCGCATTATTTTTGGGCGCGAACGCGGCTTTATTGGCAGAAGAGCGCATAAGGGAGCCTCCAGACCGCGCCAAAACCGCGCCGGTTGTCGCTTTTGCAGCCACTAGCCGCTTTCGCGCCGGTTGCCGCTATTGCAGCTGAAGCGCATCGTGTCAGATTTTGTCCTTGGAGCGTCGCGAGAGCCTATTGGCATTAAATACAAGGCTTTTCAATTCTTTTGCCACCACTCTTTTCCAAGGTCTTCTTCTTTCCGTAAGTAATTCATTGGAGGTTCTATGATGTTGGAGTAATCAATTTGTTGTCGAATATTCAATCTACCTCCGCTGTAGAGTTGTTCTTTAGGCAAAAAAGTGATGAACGGCGCTTTGTCTTTCATTCGTTTCAAGGCTATTCTTTTACGGTAGTTGATCAATTTCGTAGAACAAAGTTTTTTTGAATTTGTCTTTAGTTTTGAAGCAATGCTACTTCTATTAAGGACATCGGGTTGCGGACTTTCCCTGAATGTAAGTGTGAACTTGTTGGAACTTCATGCAGCATTGCTTTTCGTACTCTTTCGTTAACTTTACCATTAAGATCAGGGAAAGCCCGCAACCCGCCTACACACAAATCTGGGAGCTAATAAATCTTTGCGGAACGCTATTTTTTTGCACAGCTTTCGTTTTGATGATATCGCTCTGCTATGCAGGCAAGGTTTCTCGATGTCTTTTCCAAATTGAGGTTGGTCTGCTTAGTGGACGATATCATCGCAAAACGCTGTTTTTTGCAATTCTGATTTTGAAGCTTCTCTACTATACTGCTTGAGTACACTTACTGATATAAGTTTAACTACTCAAGGTTAACTATTTTGTTATGCTGAAATAAAGGTATATACCTTGAAAGGAGAAGGAGAAGGCACCAAATGATTTCGCTTTGAAATAGATCGTTAGTCCGCGTAGTGAAGTACCAAAAGCAAAAACAGTACAGAGAATTTGAATTCTGCAGCTAGATCGCTGCTACGGCACGATAGAACAGCTTCAAAAACAAAGAAAGTACTTTCACGCTTGCTCATCTAGCATAGTAAACCAGTTTCAAAACGAGATAGACGTCGAAAAGGCCTTGCCTTGCAATCCAGCATAGCTCTACAGCGGGATTTAGACTAAAAGGGTTTCACTCGACAATGAATCGATTTTTTCAGTATCGTAGACGACCGAAAAAAAGGAATCCAAATCAAATGAACCATATCTGCAATAAATTACTACAGCAAAGAAGAGAAGTTTGGATATAAAAGATGATGACAAAGAAATCGAAAAGCCTAGCATCTATCGCCATTAGGCTACGCTCCAAGGACAAAATCTGACATAGCGCGTTTCAGCTGCAATAGCGGCAACCGGCGCGAAAGCAGCTACCGGCTGCAAAGGCGACAACCGGCGCGGTCCTGGCGCGGTCTGGAGGCTCCCTTAAACGTAGTGAGGCAGTATTTATCACCTCACACAAGTCAGCATATATTTTTAGACCCCGATAAAAGCAAAAATAAGCACATTTTCCATTGAATGGCTAGTCATTCAGTTTAATTCAAAAGCCTGTAACAGAGCATAGCAAGTAAAGCGCAAAGCTTTCGATTTTGCAAATCAAAATTATGATTTTTGGTAAAGGACCTGAGAAATCACTGAATCTTATTCGAAGTACGCAGATTATTTCAATCTAATATTTTCAGCTAATCTTGACTATGTAGATTATTTGCAAACTAAAGGACTCGAATTTCAAAATTATTAGGTTGAACCAAAAGTTCGTTCGCATCATTTTTGAAAATCGCAGCTTCCTTCGCTTACGATATTATTGCACGAGAGAAATGATTTTAGGAAGAGCAAAGCTATACTTTCTAATGGCTTCTTGACTGCTCTTTAGCAAGGTTTGGTTGCTGAGATAAAATTCAGAAAAGGAAATCACTTCAATTTTGGACCTTTGAGGCAAGTTCATTAAAAATTCCAGAACTGTGCCATAGAATTTGAACAAGCAGTATCCGAAGTTTTTGTACATACCCCAAAAAGCATGCCGTCAAGTAGTTAGCAGAGCATGAGAGGTCATGAACTGGCAGCAACGCTAATTTGCACCAATTTGCACCGAAGAAGCTGATTTTGCTCGCAGTGGCTGCGCCATCATCCCGAAGTGCATGAAACTGCATGAAACCGAGATTTTATTGAAATTCAATCTTAAAGTTTAAAAGTGAATTCCATTCAACTGGGGTAAAAATTGGTATTTAGGGGTATCCTGTCATGCTGTTTCAGAATGTGGTAGTTCTGAAATCTTGTTTTTTCCTTGTAGAATTTCAAACTTGTTTTCACAAATTTCACTGCAAATTTGGTAATGGTGTTCAGAGCTTTTCTATTATGCTGTCTCCAAGATGTTGGAGTTTGCTCATATTCTTGAAATTTTTTCTGAAATACTTTGATATTAAGGAAATTTGAAAAAAAGAAATTTTCATGCAAGCGAGACCACCAGCATTTTACGATTCAACATGTCAGAAAACCTATACATCATTCCAAAAGTGAGGTAAATTTATGAAAAAGATCAAATTTCCGGAATGAAAAAAATCCTAAAATTTGAGTAATTCGCAGCATATTCGGAAACAGCACCATAGAAAATTCTTGAATAGCTTTTTTGAAACTTTTGCCGGAAATTTTGTAATAAGTTTGAAATTCAAAGGGGGAAAAATTTCAGGGTTTTGGACAGAACCACCAAAAAAACAGCCTGGCAAAATTTCTGTAAATACAAGTTCTTACCTCAATCAAACTAAATTCTCTACTGAATTTCGAATTCGAATTCCAACATAATTTCAGTTTCATGCAGTGTGGGATTATGGCGTAGTCATCGTAAGCAAAATTAGCTCGTCGCCGGTAGATAATTCACTGACTGATGAGGCTGCTGAAGTGACGTTTCCACTATCGATTATCACTATGCCTGTCTTCAAAAGTGGGTACGTAGTAATCCGGTCGAAACTTCGAGTTTAAAGGCAGCGTCCACGCAGATCTGGACCTATGGGGCTTTTACGTGGAAAGTACTTTTGGGGCCCTAACTAAGGCACTACCCAAGCGGCAGCTCAGGTAGTGCTCTAATGGCCGAGATATTCCACTCGAAACTGGCCCCCGCAAACGTATTCGCATGGATTTATGGCAATTTCGCGCCAGGATCCATGCTTTGCGCCATGAATCCATGCGAAACACGGTCGGGGGGTCCAGTTTCGAGGGGAATATCTCAGCCATTACAGCACTACCTAAGCTGCCGCTTGGGCAGTGCCTTAGTTAGGGCCCCAAAAGTACTTTCCACGTAGAAGCCCGCTAGGTCCAGATCTGCCTGGACGCTGCCTTTAAAGCACCGCGTAACTCAGAGATAACCAGGGTCAAGCGTGGGGTGTGGCATGCTACGCCTGGGGTGTCGTATTGAGAGGTAAGAGAGGGGGGGGGGTAATTGATTCTGATGATTTTGATGTTAACGAGTCGAACAGGCCAATTAGGCAAAATACTAACATTTCGGTCTTTCATTGCAAATTTACAGTAAGCATAAAATGACCCCCTAGAGCACAACAGCATTTTTTTCCTAACATGACAATTAATCCCAGTGGACTCAGTCTCAGCGAAGGGCACTCAAGTAAGATGGTCATTTTCTGACATCTCAACTTTGTTTTAAAGGTAGGTAAACTACGTTTTTTCCTCCATTACAAAGTACTACTAGTTCTTTGCTCACGTTAGGAATCCCACTTTGAAGAACCTTCCAACTCTGTAATCAAGGGCAAGCCAAAATCTTGTTCGTGCCATTCGCTTTCAATTTTTCAGAATAGAAAAGGCGAATCAGGCTCAAAACACTATTTTGAATGTTACGAGGATTAGGCTATCAAATACACTTGTTTTTGTCGCCTTTTTTCGCGATTCACGTAGTAGCGCAGACTTAGCATACTACCGTAATCCATAATTTCGCAGTGTTTTCCATTTGCATAGCTAAGGAAAAACAACTATGTCTCCTAGAAGAAACAATTTTGAATGTAATTCCTGTCAAGTGGAGAGGAAAGTTTAGCAGTAGCAACCGTATAAAAAGACGAAGATTGGAATGCTCTGAAAGTAAGTCAATGGGGTGTGGCACAACTCCTAAAAAGCTGTGGCAGCCACAGCTTTTTAGGGATTCAAATATTCGTCCTTTTTATACGGTTGATACTGCTAAACCTTCTTCTTTTTAGGGGTTGTGCCACACCCCATTAACTTACGAAGAATTTTAGCTGATAAAGTATATATAGTTTGATATCCTCAGTCTTATAGTTTTCATAGAGAAAGTTTAGGCTTGATCCATCTTCTTTGCTGGCTGTGAATAAAAGCTAGTAAAAGCACAACCATTAAAAGCGATAAATGGGACAAACGAGATTTTGGCTTGCCTCTAATTCTACAGTTTGATGATTATTTGTGACAGAATTCAGTGGGTAAATATGAATTAATGCTTCGTATTGAGTGCAAGGAGTCAGCTAATTCAGTTTTAAAACGTAGTTAATCATGTTTAGGAATGGCCACACTTGGGTGGTTTAAAATTAAGAACCCTTAGAATTTGCTGAAACTTGGCCCATAAAAAATATTTGACAGATAGTTACGAATATGTGCTTAGTCATGCATGGTAGAGCCTTTATATCATGCCTACGATGGCAATTGATTATGCTGGTGGGTGGAGGGGGGGGGGGGTATTGAGACAGAAGATGGGGAGGAGGGATCGTATCAGGCGATTGTGTGCCACACCTCTTGCTCGACCCTGGAGAAACTCTAAGCCTCATCTTTGAGTTTTGGGTTTTGGGTTTTACTTATTAAAACTTTGAGTTCTGCTTCTGAACCCGAGTTCCAATTTCAAGGTCGGAGTTTCATCACGCTGTCTGAGGAGCTGTTATGCACGTCACCGCAAAGCAACAATCAAGCTGGGACCGGACATGTTCGGTAGTGATGATCCTATCTTTGAATCGCTAGTCCATGGCACACCTTTGAGGCATGTTTGCCACAATGTACTCACTGCATCAAGATAAAGCATATCAAAACATGTTATATCAAAGCCTCACTCATTTTTATTCCTGCCGAAAAATGGTGTTTTATCGAACGGATTCTTTTGCGAAGTTGAAAGCTCCAAAAGTAGAGAAAGCGGTTGGCATATGCAATGATGAGAATGGACTATTAAAATTCGCAAACAAAACAAACCCCCGGACAAGTTTGCCCTTATTCCATGATTTGACTCACTTACAATATGCCTACCGTAACCGGCAGATGGCACCGCCGCATGAAGAATTTTGTTAACTTGTAGTTGGCACCCCGAAACCTCACTGGATCGAATTTCGGCCATGTTGTGACTTCATCCTACTTACCGTGTAACTACCGTAGTCGCTACAGATGACACCACTATAGGTGGTAAATAGAATGTTCGTGATCTGGGCTTCGAATAACCCCAGTGTACGAAGTTTTGGCTAATTCCGCAGCTTTAAGGGATTATCTGACTTTATCTCTTTCTTGGTATAGCCAAATTATGCCTTGACTCAAATTGGCCATTTTACAATCAATAAATTCTTGTTTGAACAGAAATTTATATGGAAATTGGAAGAAAAAGAAAAGTTTAGACACACTTAGCAGTTACAAGCGACATATAAAGGATTAAAGTAATAGTTCATTTGGCCATTCTAAAAAAATCGTACCTCCATAATCATTTTACTTCTAAAGGTTTTGTTTTGCATAAATTTTATCGTACAGAAAATGTGCTTTTGAGGGAACTTTGATGGCCTTCTACTATGTACACACAGAATGTAGTAAAAGTGGAAAGAGAAGTAGCTTGTAATTCTTATCAAAGTTACTAAAAATGTGAAACATTGCAGCAGGACCCAAAAAAGCAGTAATCTGCTAATTAAACGCTCTTTGTAACTTATAATTCTCAAGAAAAACCTTGTGAGATTATCTCCCGTTTTCGTGAGAGTCATATCTTTCCATGAAGGCACACGTTTTGAGATCTGCAATATGGAAAGTCGATGATAGGAATCGAATTAAAGTTCTTATTTGCATGCACTTTGATTTTATGGGTAATATATTTTCATTCTTGATTAAGCGAAGATGGAGTATCTTTTGATTGCTGAGTATTCAGAGGATTGTGTACAACTGACTTGATTGCATTTGTTCGATCACTGCTTTCAAAATGATCTCGAAATGATCGCTTGCAAAAAATATGTCGCGTCGATGTAACGTTACGAAATAAGAAAACTTCAAAACGCCTTACCTTTCTGAAAAGTGACATCTTTTTTTTCGAAGTTTTGGGGATTGTTCGTTTCCAATATGTAGCAGTATGTGTGATCACTGTTTGCAGTGTAGCTGTGTGGCCTTAGAGTTCCATCATGATTTGGTAGAACGAATGATTCATTAACAACCATTCTAGAAATATCGGAATTGTCAAAAGTGCTAGTCTCTTCTGAACAATGCCAGACCCTTTCAGATAATTCATTGATAACGCCCTGTCAACGCATTCCACTCTTATGCCGTTTGAGGCATTTGACTCTTAAATGATCCGCGTTTTGAGGCATTACCAGCTCGAATAGCAATTTGGATTTCTGTCAACGAACTACCAAAAGAAACGAAAACCTCAGGACTTTAAGGCCGCTTTTTAGAGAAATGGCATTAGATTTCCACAAAAAAATATTTGCCGCAACGCAGCTAATATGTGATCTCAGATTGTTTATCGGACGTATAGACCTCCATTCAACTCAGACAAGCTGAGATGAACCATATATAGAAGCTTCACAAATTAACTTAAACCGTTATAAACTTTCCATGCTTCAAGATGGAAGTTGAACAATCAGAAGATCGTCCGGTTAGTTTAACGTAATGCCACTAAGAGGTAAATCCTAGGTTGAACTGAAAAAGGTAGTGTAAATGGAGTATCAAACTAAAATCCGGTGGATTGCTCATGGTAAACTACGGACGAAAACTACTCAAAACTGCATGATTTCACGGGGCTTACGGAAGGGGGTCGATGAACAGCTGATTGCAAACGAAAATAAATAGTAAATTTCTTTACTTGCAAATGCTGCTCGATTCTTCTGGAAAACCACTTACAGGGTGAGCCAAAATTAGCGCCAAACATGCAATGCTGCTGAAAAAACGACAGCTTCAATCAAACTCCACAAAAGACGTTTTACAGAACTCAGATAGACTCCTTTCAAAAGGTATCAAAAAAAAAACTCAGACTACCAGTTAAATGGGCACATATGGAAGTTCTTTACCTTCATACTTTGCTATGTAACTAAATGGACTCAAAGCCTTTGTGAGCCATTCCAAGCTGGCTTGTAAAACACGCTTTGCACTATTATATGATAAATTTTGCATATTCACGAATTTTTTTTAATGCAGTACGAAAATGTACTTGCAAAGAATACTTGCGTACAAGCAATGACTTCATGTTTAAAATGTCCGTGCGATCCCAGACATGCAAAACTCCTTCGCTTAGACAGGGCCCGGCTCTCTTATTGCACCTATGCTGCGGAGATTATAACGTGCAAGTCACCTCCTATGGTTGAAAGGTTACCGTAGACATCATCCGATAAACCAGCTTTCCTTTTCACCTAAAGAAGTCTAAAGAGTCCTTTGATGCAAAGGCGAAAACTACCAGCGGATTTTACAAAAAAGCTCTAGAAAAGCCCCTTCAAGAAATAACTTTCTTAAAAAATTAAAATTGTGTAGCAGTGCTTCCACGCGTGCTGTTTTTACAACGTGCAGACCAAGCACTTTTACCCCAATTACATCTATTTAATTGCATTTTACGCTAAAACCCGATGGTGTACGAGTGCATGATTTATTCCACATTACCGAGCGTGAAAATGCATTGTGCCTGATGCGAGCGCTGCTCAAGTCCAGTCACACACACATGGAAACTTGCCGATCCTAAGGTCTACCTCATGCGATTGGACCAAATCGCGACGTCCACGTACCTTGGCAGTCTTGCCAATTTTCACAAATTCGTCGTGGACGATTTTCCAATGGCGAGTAGCTTTTGTAAGTTATTGCAAACGGATCAAGTCCCGTCCAAACAAAGGGCGGTAACAATCAATTATGAACAGTTACTTCTGTGCCGAATCGCGCAGCGACTGAAATAGCGTGAAGTATGCCTTTGGCCCAAAGAACATGTTTTTCTGCAAGAAAGCAATGAGGCTACCAGGTATGACTAAGCCATGCCGTTTTTTTCCAATACTATCTTAACATGTGAGACAACAAGGAAAGGAGAACCAAGCAGAACAAACTTTGAGTTACACAGCCTTTTTGCATTAGCATTAGCATGCACAGACCTCTTCTCAGACAATCAAAGGCTCTCAGCCGGCCCCACCAAAAACTCCGAGCAAGCCGTCATTGCCTTATTGCCTTACTGTCGCTTCCTGCTGAGAACTTTTCTAGAACTATGTAGCAACGAGCGGGCTGCTATAAAGTCTTCAGCGCAAAGCGAAAGTGGCAGCCGTGCTTTATCGCCGCCACTTTCGCTTCGCGCTGAAGACTTTATGGTAGCCCGCTCGCTGCCATAAGCCTGAGTTTCGAAACCATTCAGACAACTGCATCGAAAAGTTGCGGCTTCAAAGCGTATTACATTTCGCGCCGCGCCCTCAAAATCTTCGCCTGAGAGCCGTGGTCTACGTACATTTTATCGGAGACGCCGCTGCCAAACTTAAATTTGGAAAGAAATTATCGGGAGCGTCGCGGCCCAACCAAGTTACTCGGCGAGTCGCGGACCTTATCAAAAGCCGCACTTTTCACACGCTGTAGGTAATGGCGCAACCAACGTGAAGTAGCTGCAATGGTGGGTCTACTCTAATTGTTTCCGGGGGGAAGTATGACTTCTCGGATTTGCTCCTATCTGACAGAATTGAATTTGTATGCTTATGGAGTAAAACTTAACAATCGGAAGAGTATTATCGAGGAGAGATCATGTTGGCAGATGAGCAAACTAACTGCTCGAATTGCACTAAGTCGTCATGGTGAGCTAAAAGGTTACCCACTCTTCCTAGGCCTTACAAGCATGCGGCATGGATGATTTTATCAGACAAGCGATCGCGAACTACACGATGCAGTTGACTGAGCATGTGCAGTAGCTATGCGAAAATTGTAAAAACCCCCAAAAATGACGCATGACAACTGCAAACTTAACAATCGGAAAAGTATTATCGAGGACATGAGATCATGTTGGCAGATGAGCAAACAGAAGGAAATTTTGACTGCACAAACCCAATGACCGCAAAATAAAATGATACACAGCACAAACTGCAGAAGCAGCAAAAACAAATGCGCACAACGCAAAAAATTTCTCAAAATTCAAAGCTCAAAAATAAGACTTACGGGCAATTAACAGAAAAGACAAAACTCCACTTGTACTGTGTGATTTAAAGTGATGTTTGTTCGTATAACATAAACAAAACATGGTTCAATTTAAATCTACAAAAAAGAGTTCTCGCTTAGCTAAAAATTTTACACACTCCCCTCCCAAAAAAACAAATTAGACTAACTAGAAATTTGGATTTTTATGGATATATTGCCTCCACGGACTTTTGTTTCAAAGCCAGAAAATCTATTTCAATACTCTGCTAATTTCGGGATGACACATATGCTCTGTAGAACAGACTTAGGGCTTTCAAAATTATACACAAATCACTCCAAGTAAGGTCAATATGGTTGAGAAAATTTAAAATAGAAAAAACTTGACAAAACTTATCACATCACCTAATACAACTACTGTAATTGTCTGCGGTCAAAGAAGTCTGTCAAAGAAAGCACTCACAGTCAAAATAACCTCTAAATTGTGGTATTTGTTAAAGTCAGTGATGACTACTGATTCATAACTTCACTTTGCATCGAACGCTCTTTGAAGAACCCACAGGTTTGACCAATACAATTTGGTGTATGCATGGAGGACATCATAGAACGGTCAATGCGCGAAATCGCAAGTTCGCAGCTTTTAACAAACATCGTGTTTGCACTTTGTTTGTGGCTCCACAGCTCCCTCCAAAAAGCTGGTGCAAGGCCAGAATGGCAAGTGGCTTTAAAAACTAGATTAGCGGTATAGCTTACTTATTTACATGGAACTTCTACTGAATCAGGCACTTAGCATAATTGACTGCAGTTTGTATTTTGATTGTTGGTGTAAGGTGTAGCAGCTACAGCTTTTTAAAATCATGCCACACCCTACGGGTAAGCAAGATTTTGGAAGGGCTAATATCTTCAAAGTTTGAAATGCGTTTGAATTATTATTTCCAATATGGGCAGGCAAGGGTGGGTGTTTTGTGCTAAGTGTAGAAAGAGTAGCTGACTAGTCCTTGTGGTCAACCATGTTTGAAAATGGCCATTTTAGCTTGGTTGCCTGGGCACTTGGGAACTTCAGACCAAATAGTTTGTTTATTTGACATGATTGTTGAAAAATATCATAATGCTTAATATGGACTTCCTTCTACTTGGTGGGTAACTTCAATCAAACTGCGCGCACACACACCAAAATTCGTGTCACATCACATCTGTGCGTTGCAAGCGACACATTGTACCAATTTGTGGTAGAAATTTTTGATAGAAAGCTTGCCACAGAGTCGCAGATTTCTTCCACAGTATCTGGATTACGCTCCTAGTCCTTCTCCGTTTAAACTCCAAAATATTAGTCATATCGTTATGTGTGCGTTGTAACAGGGACATCTAATTACAACTAAATGAAAAAGTTTGGATTTTCAAAGATGACGGGCAGGCAAAATGGTGTCTTTGCATATTATTTGTGTAGGAACTTGTCGAAAGAGTATCTACATGTAAACGTTACTGTATCCCCTTTGCTTTCCACCCAGAACGAATTCTAGCTTGACATTTCCCCATCTCGTGGCGGGCTCTGTGCCGAGGAGGCTCAGCGAAACTCAAAGTTTTCATCGCAATTAAAAAATCTTTCGTCACGAAACGGCTTATTCTCAGAACAATTTGACCTCTAATGTATTTCAAAGTCCTTCTATAAAGCGACAGCTCTCAGGTCTCAAAAATGAAAAGTTTAGTTTAACCGGTTCACGCAGATAGGAGCATTCATGCATTGTGGGCACTCTAACCTACCACATAATTTGGTGCACTTGTTCTGTGTACAAGTACAGACAAGTCAAGAATAATCCTAAAACTGCCCGCGCTTCTTATGAGAAAAAAATTCTTCTCCATGCTTCCGCCCTTGTTTTGGCAGTTGCTATAATTTTATTTTATTTAATCGAACGTAATATTCAAAGATGATGAGTTCAAATAAAAACACATGAATTCTGGAAGAAACTGCAAGTTTGTTTTTTCGACACATTCAATATATTGCAGTTTATTTGTGTGAAGTAGATCAATAGTTATATGCTCCTTGTGAAAAATCAGGATATACATTTACAAGTGCGTGACGGGCTAATGTACGACAACACATTATACCAGTTTGCTTTATAATGAACGCTGTTCCAATAACTTCATCTTCAGACCACAAGACCCTACAGAACCTTAAAACCTTTCCGTACAGCTTCCATAATCTCTTTGACATGCTCCTTTTCAAAATCTAACGGCACGTTGAGAAGAGTGTAACCCCTCTTGTCGAGATCCACAATTCTAGTCAAATTGGTACCTGAAAGCAATATTTAGTTGCTGGATAATCCAGAATGATTTTAACTTTGTTACCCAAGGCAAGTCCAGAATGAGGGTGATAAAAAAGTGTAAGTTGTATGACAACGAAATATCAACTTGGAAACTGGTTTTTTTTTTCAGAAACGATTTCTTTTCGTTTAATTTTACGCACAAAGATTTATACTACCGACGCCGTGAGGGCACAGCGAGTGTACATTATGGGAGAATTGAATTACAAGTTATTACAAATTTGGCTGTAAATTGATCTCAGGGATTATTGACATCTGACTACGACCATACACACTTGGTGGAAAAGCCTTTTTGTTTTTTGGATATTACCTCAAACGCAAAATATGGTTCATTTAGAGATAGTTGTGCTCGCCTCGAATTACTAGCTCCCCAGTAGTCCTCGAATTACCAGCTTCAAAAAAGGAGATTATTTCATTGTTATCAAAAATCAGCCAGTTTATGATATCTCAGCTCACATCTCAATCTACATGTCAAAAATACAAGCGCGCTACAATACAAAAAGGCAAAATATTTCGTAATTTTTGACTTAGATTTGATCGCTACATGGCACAAATTCTCGCGTATTTTCTGTTATCTTCTAGCTCTTTATAAAACCCGCATTCTTTTTATCTATTAAGAAGCGTATAAATGCTCCAATGCAGCCAAAACTGAACCAAAAAGGAATGATTGATTTTTATCAACAAAAAAAAAACTACAAGGCAGTTAGCAGTCCCTCAACTCCCAGTCAAAAGTTCTCCTAATGAGCTGAGCTTTTACTTTCAAACTGCTCATGATTTTGAGTGCTGTAATGAGCATAAGGCATAGTCAATAAATTGAATATAATTAATCCGCTTCCAAATAAATTTTTTGGCGGAAAATGGTGGAAAGCCCAAACGTTTTTATGCTAAATAATCTGCCGTTGAAATAAATGAAGGATGATAGAATGCTTCTACTTGATTTTATCCTAAATCACTAATTGGACTGCAGCTTTCATTCGGTTGCGAAAAAATTACGTTTCTCTGCTAACAATGACATAATAAGCATATATTTCATACCTCGCAGACTCACAACAACGACGCTTTTATAACCATCCGGCTCGATTCTGACTCCATCCGGCACCTTGGCTAACTGCTCTCTAAAAACAGGGTAAATCTTGAACTTAAGTGGCCTGTACATGCTCGTAAAAGGTCGTCGAAGAGACGTTGGATGAGAAAACATTCACAACACAGACATCTATGAATTTCGCGTAAAAGTAGCTCTTGGACTTCAAAAGCTTCTTCCTTGACTGCAGGATACCGCTTCTGGCACCAGCATCTGATTGTTCAAATTTAAAGCCTCATTTCTTCAACCATGTTGGGTTGTCATTCTTTCATTGTGCGCTTTCTACATCTACAGGGAGCGCGATTTGTGCTCATGCGATTGTACAAAATCGTGCCTATCTGTCATTCGTGCAGCAATTTCGTTGACGGAATGTTTGGGGATATATACGAAATTCAAGTATTAGTGCACGCTCAGGGCTCGGCACAGATGGCTTGTCGGGTTTTGGAGCTAAAAAGCAAAGGGGCTATCGTTTTTGCGGAAGAACATATCGCTGTCTTTCGATCTGCTGCCGGCGCGCTGCCGGCATGCCGGCGGCATAGTTTCCCAAACAAACATGGGGCTTGTTTACAGCGAAGTGAAAATGAAATGACAACAAAATGGATGTGTACTCAGACAATTATGGCGAGCACCCGCCGGCCACCCATGGGCGACGATAAGCCCATCCCGAGGGCGCGCCGATAAGTGCCCGATAAGCGCCCGAACAGTACCATCGGGGGCCCGGCAATCACACGATAAATGCGCGATTTGCACCCGCGGGTGGCCCGATAGCACTACCCGAATTACGAAAGATTCTGAACACCCGTCTCCATCTCTAATCTAGCATAAGGACGAATTCTGCGCAGAAATCAGGGTGACGCTCAGACCAGCTTTGGTCAACTCTCCAACCTTGGCCCCACAATCAAGGGCTTTAGTTGTGTAATCCGAGACAATATCGATAACCATAGCTTGGCTTGTCCCTGGGACCAAACGTTTTGGGGTAGCTCTATCACCGCGGCGTATCTCACGCAAGTAACGTTTCCTTTTAAAGCGTGTAAGAATTGCGCCTTCAACAAGGCCCGGGGCTTGCCAGAGTGGTTCTGTCGCGCCGTGGCCTGATGGGCCGCGGCTTGCCCGAAAACTGCATATGCAGGGCGTCCTGTAAGGGCCGAGTCTCGCTCAGTGGTTTTTCTTAAGCCGCAGTGTTCCGATAAAATATTCAAGGCCCGAGGCCTTCCCGTAGCGACAACATTGACCGCCAAACAAATAAATCTATGGCCGCGGACGGTTGGTCGAATAGTCGCCCGCGCACCGCCGAAGAACACCGATAGGGGCCGCGGGTGCTCGCAGTAATTGTCTGAATGGATGGACAATGAGGGATATACTATGTGCAAAAAACTATGAAAAAGTTATGTCAACTAAAGTCGCGGCAAACTTTTTTCGGAGATAGGTGGCTTTACAGCCACCTGGAAGCCACCTAAGGTGGCTGTCAAAAGAAAAGTCATAAATTTCTCCGTCTTCAGATAATGTTTCAAAACTTTTTACATAAATATACTCTACATCCTGTCTCCCATCTATTCGTTCTTCAATCGCTCGAAACCCCCTCCTCTCCGTCTATCTACAGGCCCTCAAAATTTTTTCAGCATGACTTCGCAGGCTGCTTCAGTGCACAACCGTGCGCCGACGACAACACTCGCGGAAGCAGACGCCTACACCCAGCTCCCCAAAACCTTTAAGCTAGTTGCTGGTTCTCGGGGATCTATTCTGCTAGTTTTATTCCTTTGTAAATGATCAGTGCACATTATGACCTGCGTTTTGCGATTAATGGCGCAATATCGCGACTCTACATTTTGATTACTCTTGTGGACAACTATTAGTCATTCCTTGTGCGGCTTGCAGCCTCATGAGCTAACTTTGTTCTTGCAGGAGCTCGTGGGCCTAGTTGGCTTTGTTCTTGGACTTCTTGTGAATGCCTCTATCAACATTTGATGCATGATGGCGTTCCAACTAGGCTTTAGTCACATATCTGGAGCTGTGTCGGCTCTTAGTTCTTTCCTCGCCAAATTGAGCTGTTGACTTTTGTTTTGAGAAAGAAAAGTGAAGAAGAAAAGCGAGAGTGAACAGATCATTATCGCCTACAGTGCTATTCAGTCTCTTTCATAGTCTTTATAGTACTGACAGTTGTCATCTGAGTTTGTACTATCACGGTGCTTATCTGATGACTGTGCATGTTTTGATTCTGACCACAAACATTTGACCATGGATTACCCAACGCGTCTGAATACTGAACAATGTTGTAAGGTATGTGAATATCCCTCTTTTATGTAGTGCTTCTTATGGTTTTTGGACGCGGTTATCACTACGGCAAGACAGCCAATATGCATTTTGAGCTAAATTTACCACCTTTTTCACACCAGCAGATTCAAAAGTGCCTTGCCGCATTCAGAGTTGTCTATGTCACAGCAGTGCTAGCGCCGTGACGGCGCAGTAGATCGATTAGCACGTGCCGGCGCACGTGGCAGCTGGAGCGGTGCTAGCAAGGCCTGGCACAATGCAGCTTTGGATGCGACTCCAATGGCAGTGGCTGGCTTTGAAGAAATAGTGTGTTGCATTTATCCTAAACATATATAGTTGAGTGCACGAAATCGCCCGGATTAAACGTCCGCGCGCGGTCTCTGGCGGGCTAACATTGGCATTCAGCGCATAAGTCATCATAGTGCCAGTACTCGGCAGCCGCGTTGCAGGTACGCTCGCGTACGTTCAGTCTACGGCGACCCGGGCAATCTCGTGCTTTGAAGAGGATATCGTAGGTTTTTTTTGCAATTCAGGGGGGACTTCGTTTTGTTTCAACAAGCCATCTCGTGCCGAGCCCTGTGCACGCTACATCGTTTCAGTTTGAAGCAACATTGATTACCGTCCCCGTTACGTTATAGATATTGGGTTGATGTCTGACAATGAGTTTTGACTACGATGAGATAAATCAAGAAATTTATCATGCTCGACCATCCTTGAATCTTGGCATTTTATGTTCAGTATAGGTTAGTTCTCAGTATGTTAGTAAGCATTCCAAGATTGTTATCCGTTTATCAATATAACGTCAATAAGCAAACAGGTCGACGTTTCGGCAAGGTCGCCTTTTTCAAGACCTGGAAAGTGAGTCAGTGCATTCGACGCTCCAAGGGTAGACATATCATCAGCGATACACTTCAAGTGGCTGTCCACCACTTTGACACTTAGTCAGGCCACTATATGCTAACTCTTGTGATGGAATGAGGTTCCCTTTTAAGGTCAGACTCAAATCCACACAATGATAAGAAAATGAAACTGTCGTGTCGCATATACCAGCGAAATATTTTCGACTAGTTAGAGAAGTGTTGTCAATGAGGCAAAACATCGTCGCTACGAGGCAGACCACTCATTTTCTCCATCGATGTCTGGACAATCGTCTGATTCCAAACTTCATAAGAAAGAAAAATTTACACCAGACATGTGGGCTCCCGAAAGGTGACTGGCAGATACACAAAATCGAGTTACAACTTTTGAGAATGGCCCTAAGGGCAAAGAAGAACTTTATGTATAGTTTGATTAAGAAATGTGTAGCTAAAGAATTGTATTGTGAACGATTTTTGCCTGGGAGCCTCTGGAATAGAGTGGTGAGTGAGTCTAAGAGCATTTGCTACTCGATTCGCTCCATTGCCAAAGTGCGATTACAACGAAAATTCGACAAGTTGTTAGAAAGTAGACAATCATCCAAAACAGTAGCGTCCACCAACCTTTGTTTGTCAGACCACCAAAATGCTACTCATACTGACCACAATGAATTCATTCAGTCACGAGTCACTATTGTTGGCGGTGCAACAACATCAAAGGATGCCTCATCCTTACTCAGTTTGGGGCCAAGCTTCTCACCCGCGCAATCATTATGTCCTGGTGTCATGCGTAAAATTGTAGGCAATTTACAGCAAGTTCAAGATTGCTTACGATACAAAGCAAAGATAGAACAACAATCCAAACCGAGAATGACCGTGGCATTGCCTGCGATACCATTCCCGCCCATGTTCTATAAGCCGCAAGAGCCAATACCTTCCACTGACTCTGCTTTTCGAGTATTTGCCACTTCGGTCTTCACTGTTCTCAAACGATATAATCGCTCAAGTCGAATCCCTAATCTTACGCCAGCGCAAAGAAGAGGTTTGAGAGAACTTCGAGAACTCTCAGCTATGAATATCAAAATCGGGATCACTGAATAAGGGAGGTGAATTCATAGTTATACCAAAACAGTTGGAAATCCCCATAATACAACAGCATTTCCAAGACGACGCAACATATTGCGTATCTTCTGAGCGAGAATTCACAAAACAATATAAAAAGTTGAACAAGGTCTGGACTGAAATAGCGCGAACAGCAGGACTCGCAAAGCGAACTGTATCCCGCCTCAGGATTGATGTACCAGTCTGTCCTGTACTATACGTACTCATTAAAACACACAAATTACCATCCGACTTACTCAATTCAGAAAATTTTTCGGACTACAAAGTTCGCCCTATCATCAGTAACGTCGGTGGTCCGACACACAGGATATCGTGGTTACTCAATCTGATATTGACACAATTACTAAAACATGTCCCCGCACATTTGTCCAATACGAATGCCTTACTTAACCATTTGAGAACTGCGCGATTCAGTGAAAATGACGTCATAGAATCCTTTGACGTCACCTCTCTATTTACAAATGTTTCGAATTCCAATGCGTTAGAAGCCGTTTTCGAATTACTGTCCGAAAAGAGTAACAGTATCAATTTCTATGGCTTTAACATACAGCAAGTTATGGCATTGTTGAGAGAATGTTTAGAATGTTCGGTTTTCAAATGGGCGGGGCAGTATTATAAACAAACTAGGGGACTCGCAATGGGCCAGCGTTTGGCACCTATTTTAGCAATAGCATTTACGTCAAAGATAGAAGAACCAATTCTCAACGGCCGATCTGTTCTTTACTACAGGTACATTGATGATACTATCATTGTTTGTCCAACACAAGCGGAAATGGATCTATTTGACATACCCAATGCTCAATCAACTGACATCAAATTCACAAGGGAAACGCCTAAGCAGGGATGGTTGCCATTCCTCAATGTCCAGATCTGCTTATGCAGAGGAGAGTACAGAACACGCTGGTATAGAAAACCAACCAATAAGAACATACTTGTACATTACTCCTCTGCATACCCAATTCAAATGAAACTTAGCATTATCAGAAACATGCTGCGAACGTCAAAAAGAGTGTCTTCAAGCACTTTAGAATCCGCATCGACCAAACAGGCTATCCAGATTGCACACGCAAACGGTTACCTGCTGTCGAAAAACGAAAACACAAACGTTCATCACAAGGATAATGCTACAGTTTTCAATGATGTCAGTTGCGAAAAGGTGTCATTCCTTTTGCCATTCATATCGGATAAGTTAAGCGCTGCGATTAGAAACTGCGTTCATAAAGCCGGCCTGCAAAATATGCTTAGAGTTGTCGAAGTCCCACCCCAAAACTTCAAGCAGCGCCTGGTGCGTAACAGAGGTTACGATCCAGCCTGTTCAAAAACAGACTGTAATATATGCAATTCTAACAAACCGGGAGATTGCATGTGTCGTGGCGCTGTGTACTTGATATCTTTGTAAACTGTGTGGGGAAGAATATATTGGAGAAACGGGAAGACCGCTGTATGTACGAATTAACAAACATTTGGACGGAATGAGAAAATCGCGAGTGTCCACGCCTCTTGGCGCACATCGTGTGCTTTGCCATCGGGACATAGAGTTTCAAATTAACGTTGCTATCCTTTCGAAAGAAACCGACATTGCAGCACGAAAGACCATAGAGGCTTGTTGGATCACGTCCAAATGTCCCAAACTGAACAGAAAGGAAGAGAAAATGACTATCAGTAGTGAGCTCGTCCCATTCTCATCATTGTGTGGATTTGAGTCTGACCTTAAAAGGGAACCTCATTCCATCACAAGAGTTAGCATATAGTGGCCTGACTAAGTGTCAGAGTGGTGGACAGCCACTTGAAGTGTATCGCTGAAGGTATGTCTACCCTTGGAGCGTCGAATGTACTGGCTCACTTCCCAGGTCTTGAAAAAGGCGACAAGCCGAAACGTCGACCTGTTTGCTGTATTGACGTTATATTGATAAACGGATAACAATCTTGGAACGCTTACTAACATACTGAGAAGTAATCAAGAAATTGTTCGTTTTAACGGCTGCATTTGCTAATTGCGAGCTCCTTAGCAATTTCTTTATATTTCTTCTAGTTAAGATGCAAAAGATTTAGGCAGTATTTCTTCTAGGGCTCTAGCTTATTTTGGTTCGAGGCATTTTTGACAGATGGGACGAGATAAGTTTATCGTTAACAAGTTTGCGAGCGGTTTACAATGCATTTGTAAAGTTTCTAAGAAATGGAGTAAGTTATTCTTAACATACTACGGGGTATATTCATAAAGCATCAAGTATTAAGTCGGTCCAAAAGTTCGTCAATTTCTTGAACCACCGGCAAATACAGTGATTCAAATATAAACAAACACTTCCGATGCAAAGATTTTTCCTCTTTCCATGTGCTATACTCAGTTTTGAGTACTAAGATACTCGCTAGAAATCACACCTCTTCGTTCTCATTATGTCCAACTTTCGTTAATTTTTAAAAAATTTCATTTGGGACTTTTCATGGAGTTTCATTAGTTAGAACAAACCTTCTGCCGACTGAAGCATTTTCTTTTTTTTAAGATTTTTTTTTCAGAATTTTGCTGAATAGAATTTTGCTAAATAATACATAAGTTTTAAATTTCGGACAAAATCGTACATCCTGTGTTAGTGCACCAAACACTTTTTCTAGATTGCCTGAGGTTTCGACAGAGATTATCACTATTACTACCTTACAAAGTGAATGAGCGATGTTGGCGTTAAAATATGGATTTGAAACTTAGGGTGCACTAGTGCGCACTTGTAAAGCTGAGAAATAGTGCGCACCTCCGCAAATTTCATATAAAAGCTCACCCAAAAATGTCAAATAGAAATTCTGAAAAATAGCGAACAGACATGGTGTAAACGAAGGATCGTAATGTCTAGCGATTATCTTAGCACTTTTAATGCGAATAGGCAACTGAAAAGAGGAGGAAATTTTGCGTCGAATACAGCAAAAATGTTTGTCTGTCTTTAACAAGGTATGGGTTACTTCAAAAAATTGACAAAACTTTGGAACCAATTCGGTAGTACACCCCTCTCTGAACAAACGTCTCATGCAACTTTGCCTTGACAAATTGGAACTCTCTGAGACCTATGCTCTCTCTAGATTTTTACCTGCCCTGTAAAGCGGCGCGGGGCATTTGAGGAATAAGTAAGGAATAATGAATGATGAGTAAGGGGTTTTTTTATTGATAATGATATGTAATTCACTTACTCGTTCATACCCGAGAAGAATATCAAACAGTTTGCATTCCCTCTTGGTTCCGTTTCACTGACTACTTCTATAGCCCTGAAATTGTGTGATCATTTAAAACTCCTTGAATTTCTGAGCATATTATCTTCATAGAAAACATAAGAGCATTAAACTTTCAAAACGGTTCAGGTTGTTTGTATCTAAGCCCAGATCTTCAAACATAGTAAATTTCTTGAGATATTTCTGTATCACTAAGTTGAATTTCCAGCAAATCCTCTTTGCTCCGGTGCGCCCCTTATCATTTCGTACAAGCCTACCTATATGTTAAATCTGGCCATGGGTCAAGTTTCTGGCATCAGTTGCAAACAATGTCATATGACCAGAATATGACGACATCTTGACAAAATCATATGTATTATTAGGTTGATGCATAATTCCTGCACCAAAATAGTACAGACCGCAATAATCCGGAATAATCTTATAAAATAGGATTCGATACACCATTATCTCAGCATTGTGTTGGAAAAAAAGGAAAAACTTCGTTTTTTAATTCCTAACTGAGAGAAAAGTACAGCAACTGCATAGAGAGATGTCTTATACGAAATGACAATGGATGAGCAAGTAAGGAATTTTGAAGGCTTTTTCTGAACGGACATCCAATGTTTTCTTGGTTTTTTGGGACGTTTGGTTTTTTTTTGTTCTTGCCTTGTATCAAAGCTGCTGCAAAACTCTAAGCATATCTTGTGGAGCTAGGTTTGCTCTATCTAATGATATATCGAATCCTATTTGGGATATAGGATTATTCCGAATTATTACGGTCTGTACCTATTTTGGTGCAGGAATTATCAACCTAATAGCAGCATGTATCACTTGAGCACATCTGCAGCAGATGAACCGTACAAAGAGAAATGTTTGGTGTCTTTCGCATTATTATCAGCATCGTACACATTATTTGAGGAAGAATTTGCAATCGCTCAAGCTAGAAAATCAACCCCAAAGCACATGCCAAAGTTAATCCACTTGGCCCACTTGATCTGCTCTCCATTTCGCGTAAAACGCGCCGCATTCTGTCATCTGGCAGTGCGTACAGCGGATTTGTACAGAAACACGATTTTTTTGCGTTTGTGATGAATTCATCACATTTTTGAGAAACACTGAAACGCTGTTGCTGTTTAGCTCGCACAACTCGTGTCATGATCATGATCAGCAACTCAGTTTAGCCTTGTGATGAATATTTAGCTTGTACTCTGTCTATTTTAAGGCATGATGTAGCAATGATTAAAATCCCTCTTCAAAGTTCATACCGCAATGTACAGTAACTAAGAGCGGTGGAATTCGCTCGTTATTGTGAATCTAAATTGAAACCTGCTCTACTGAATGGGACTCGAAGAAAACATTGTGAGAAAAGAGTTATCGAAGATTGAAAAGGTGTACTTATTTTTGGGACAATCTATGTGCTACAAATGGCATGATAGCTGGAACGACTTCGAATTTTGTGACAATTATATCAATTTTTTGTTTGCATGCTTGTAGACACTTAAAGAGAAAGATCTTTGAAAGCCAGGGCGAGACAAGGCTCAATTCCTTGCAGCGGCGAAACGATAAAAATTGCATCAATAAATAAAATAAGATTACGACAGAACAAGAGACGTGATGCCAAAAAGGTGAGAATGAGCTAGGCATTTTAGCACAAGTTACCAAAAACCGATATGCAACTGAGAAACTCACTCTTTATTACCCCCTGGTGAACGGCACTCGCTCCCTTCAGGGTTGACTTGCAAATCCTCTTCTGCTTGTAGTGCGAACTCCGCCCAACTCTTCTTCATATGGTCAAACACTTCTTTGAACTCTCTATAGTTCAATTTCTTTCTATATCCATAAGTCCAGAGTCCTCCAGTAGAACCTGTTATAGCTTCATCGAAATAGTTGGCTATATGCCATGTCAGCGTATACTCCTGAAACGATTGATGGATTTTGGAAAACTAAGTGGAAAAGTTTACCTTATCATAAAGTGTCTGATTGTGGCCAAGATTGTACAAGTCCGCTACAAAGACGCAGTGGATGTCCTCGAATGCTATAATATTTCCTTTGAATATTGGAATCGATGCAAAATACTTGCAAGGGCTCAAAAGCAGTATTCGATTACTGTATTAGAAAATTACAAGGCAACCAGCTCTTTAGGAGCGGAATTTTTTAATAAAAAATTAAAAGCTAGCCAGACAGATTCCAACGCTAACAGTGGTCATATACAGATTATTGCTAGGCTATCCTCTCTTCTTTCTGCTATCCAATCTTGCACACTCAATGGAGGGCCATCCGGCGAGCGCAAGTGGCCTCATTACAATCGTAGCTATTTTTTCACGCAGAAGTTTTACTGCAGCGGCACACCAAATTAAGCAGAAAATCTACTTAGACTCCATCATATTTTACCGTTTACGAAAACAAAGCTGGAATACCTTGAATGGTGAGCAAGGAATGAAAATTTTCAACTTGCTTCTGCAAGCTGGCATGTTGGAGCGTAAAAACAACGCAAATGTATGCTATAATTATCGAATTTCAACTTGCAATTTTGTTAGGAGTAGCCGAAGTAGGAGAGCTTATTGTTAATTTAGTTGAATGTCCTTAACGTGCAACTATGTTTCTACTCCAATTACCTCAAAAACCCAGGTTACCATCTGATTCCTCATTTCAAAAGTTGTCTTAGAAGGTTCGAAAAATGGGCCAAAATGGCCCAAACAAACAGACAATTAGTGATATTTTATTTCCGACTTTAACCCGTGAGAACAGTGTATTCGGCAATTACAAGTGGCTTATTATAGTTAACAAAAAAAAAGGGGTACCCGCAGCCTTTGTGTTTGACATATTGTCAGAATTTGCATAGATGTGCTACACTTAAATGCTGTGAAGTTTGAATCAGAACTACACTTTGCAGTCGTTTAATTTCTGGCAAAAGACTCAAAATTTCAAGAAGTCGAGAATAAATATCCCAAGCATGAGAATGACTCTCTGAAAATTTTGGATTACACAAAATCCTGTGTGTGATTGAATTTTCGTCAAATTCCCAAACCTGGATGCTTGATACCCAACGATCCAATTTTTCTTTCTGCTATTTAGTTTGGCCTTGCGGAGCGATTCATTTGTTCTTTATGCTACTTTCTTTACATAATTCTCTCTTGAAGTGTAACCTGTGCAAGGCACACTTCTGGTTGGTATTGTTACACTGGCATGAACGTTGGAAGGTAGTACAAGTCAGTTTCGAGGTTTCAGCGTCATAATCAGTCTACCCGCATATAACTGTCTGATTTTAGCCTTAGTAAGTTCTAATAAGACCGCATACGTTCGAAACATGCAAGTCGATATGATTTTTTTTACCCATGTTTTTCGAGTAATCTCATAAGCAAAAGCAAACGCAGGGTTAACGATTCTTGGCTGTGCTTCTCAAGTAAGTTTTAACTCATGTTTATCTCAAACTATGAAAAGCTAGCGACTAAATGTAGAGAAAATATCAATCTAGAACTTCCTAATCATTATGAAAGGGATCGAAGAAATACAGGAGCATTTCGTTTACAGCGGAACTAGGTTAGAGGATAATTAATACCCTGATGAGCAGGAGGATAAAGTTTAACCTTTGATTCAAATGGATTGGCGGTTGGAAGGAGGGGCATTGTGACCTAATTAATGTCTGTCTGTCTCGCGCGCGTGCTCTCTGATGATTATCTAACAAGGGAAGGATGGTCAGTCGAAGTGGCTTTTTGCGATGATTATACCATTTTGGAGGGCATGATACGCTGATTCCTACTCTGTTTTCCTTAGCTGCGGTGCATTTTCTGCACGAGAAGTTATGAGCGTTTGTTGGAGAGAAAATTGAATGTGCAAATAATATAAAAACAGTAGTAACATTATTCCTAGCGCTTAAATGGAACAGTGGTAATCTTTCCAGCACTTTATAAAATAAATACTCTTAGGCGAGAGATATCCGCAGTCCGGCTGTCTCAATCAAACGCTGGGAAAATTTTAAAAACAGTTTTTATCCAAAAACGCTCATTTTTTGCTCCTTTAAGCGCTTATAACTCCTCGTCCAGGAACGTGCCGCAGATAAAGAAGACAGATTTGGAATCAGCGTCTTATGCCCTCCACCACAGTATACAACCTATCTCAAAAGTCCACTTCGACTAGCCTTCCTTCCCTTGTAAGCTTAATTAGGTCCGAAGCCCCGCCTTTCAGCCGCCAATCCAATTGAATCAAAGGGTACTTTGTGTTTCTGAAGCTACAAATATGGGTTATCTTGGGAAGGCTATTAGTCTTTTAACGGCTAGAACATTTTGCAAATAGCCTGATGCTTTGCAGTGAAAAGCTACCAAAGGTTTTTCAAATTTTGCAGTGACCTTTTTCAGTACCAAAATTTACCAATTTACCGTTCTTGCAGTAGAGTAAACTTGTTTGTACAAGCACGGGAAATGAACTCTGATCCCTACGGTCATGGCGTCTATGTCACTGCGACATAGTTCACGGGCTGAACATCGAGACAAAAAAGAAAGGAATCTATCTCAGACGTCGCGCATCTATGTAATTATACGCAATGCACTGAAGTAAGGTAATGCACGCTAATCGCACTATGGGGAGGAAGGGGGAGAGAGGGAACAAAGAGGTGAGCTCATATAATGTAGAATTCCAAGAGCTGTGAATTCATTAGTATACACCTAAACAAGATGATGAAAAACATTGCCTAATATTCGCTCAAATCTGTAACATGCTTCAGACGAATAGGACTGGTTCACAAATTCCTCCTACTTTCTATCTTTTCCAATTCATGATTATCGTCTGCACTAGCGGTATAACTGACCCTCAATATCTTTTCAGTCATATCTTTTTCGTTTTAGAATATAGCTGAAAAGTTTTCTGCAGTTTCTACAAGAGTTTGTAGAATACGATGATACCTGGAGTTGAAGATTGCGTTTGTCGTGTAGTTCGTAAATAGTCTGTACTAGTGGTCGCCATTGATTTTGCGGTTATAGTGTACGATGTTGATCCCGAAAATGCTGTACTGTTCGTAGAAATATCCGTTCTCAAATATTCCGTGGTTGATGCCTGTTCTATAGTTGTTAAGCTCTCTGTATATCCGGTTGCCTTCGTTAGTGGGGTGAACGATGTTGCCTCTGAGGCTGCTGAGTCTCTAGTAGATCTTGTTGCTCCTGTCGCCGAAGTTCCAGTGAACGGTGATGCCGGTGTTGCCGGTGTCGCCTCTGTGGCCGTTGAGTCTTTAGTATGTCCTGTTTCTCCTGTCACTACAGTTCCAGTGAACGGTGTTGCCTCTGTAGCTGTTGAGTCTTTAGTATGTCCTGTTGCTCCTGTCACTGCAGTTCCAGTGAACGGTGATGCCGGTGTTGCCGGTGTCGCCTCTGTGGCCGTTGAGTCTTTAGTATGTCCTGTTTCTCCTGTCACTGCAGTTCCAGTGAACGGTGTTGCCTCTGTAGCTGTTGAGTCTTTAGTATGTCCTGTTGCTCCAGTCACTGCAGTTCCTGTTGCCTGTGAAGCTGTTGAGTCTTTAGTATGTCCTGTTGCTCCTGTCATTGCAGTTCCAGTGAACGGTGTTACCTCTGTAGCTGTTGAGTCTTTAGTATGTCCTGTTGCTCCTGTCGGTGCAGTTCCAGTGAACGGTGTTGCCTCTGTAGCTGTTGAGTCTTTAGTATGTCCTGTTGCTCCTGTCGGTGCAGTTCCAGTGAACGGTGTTGCCTCTGTAGCTGTTGAGTCTTTAGTATGTCCTGTTGCTCCTGTCGGTGCAGTTCCAGTGAACGGTGTCGCCTCTGTGGCCGTTGAGTCTTTAGTATGTCCTGTTGCTCCAGTCACTGCAGTTCTTGTTGCCTGTGAAGCTGTTGAGTCTTTAGTATGTCCTGTTGCTCCTGTCACTGCAGTTCCAGTGAACGGTGTTGCCTCTGTAGCTGTTGAGTCTTTAGTATGTCCTGTTGCTCCAGTCACTGCAGTTCCTGTTGCCTGTGAAGCTGTTGAGTCTTTAGTATGTCCTGTTGCTCCTGTCATTGCAGTTCCAGTGAACGGTGTTACCTCTGTAGCTGTTGAGTCTTTAGTATGTCCTGTTGCTCCTGTCACTGCAGTTCCAGTGAACGGTGATGCCGGTGTTGCCGGTGTCGCCTCTGTGGCCGTTGAGTCTTTAGTATGTCCTGTTTCTCCTGTCACTGCAGTTCCAGTAGCGAAAGGTGTTGCGTCTGTGGCTGGGGAGCCTTTAGTATGTCCTGTTGCTCCTGTCGGTGCAGTTCCAGTGAAAGGTGTTGCCTCTGTAGCTGTTGAGTCTTTAGTATGTCCTGTTTCTCCTGTCACTGCAGTTCCAGTGAACGGTGATGCCGGTGTTGCTGGTGTCGCCTCTGTGGCCGTTGAGTCTTTAGTATGTCCTGTTTCTCCTGTCACTGCAGTTCCAGTAGCGAAAGGTGTTGCGTCTGTGGCTGGGGAGCCTTTAGTATGTCCTGTTGCTCCTGTCGGTGCAGTTCCAGTGAAAGGTGTTGCCTCTGTAGCTGTTGAGTCTTTAGTATGTCCTGTTGCTCCTGTCACTGCAGTTCCAGTGAACGGTGTTGCCTCTGTGGCCGTTGAGTCTTTAGTATGTCCTGTTTCTCCTGTCGCTGCAGTTCCAGTGAACGGTGTTACCTCTGTGACTGTGGAGTCTTTAGTATGTCCTGTTGCTCCTGTCGGTGCAGTTCCAGTGAACGGTGTTGCCTCTGTGGCCGTTGAGTCTTTAGTATGTCCTGTTTCTCCTGTCATTGCAGTTCCAGTGAACGGTGATGCCGGTGTTGCCGGTGTCGCCTCTGTGGCCGTTGAGTCTTTAGTATGTCCTGTTTCTCCTGTCATTGCAGTTCCAGTGAACGGTGATGCCGGTGTTGCCGGTGTCGCCTCTGTGGCCGTTGAGTCTTTAGTATGTCCTGTTTCTCCTGTCATTGCAGTTCCAGTGAACGGTGATGCCGGTGTTGCCGGTGTCGCCTCTGTGGCCGTTGAGTCTTTAGTATGTCCTGTTTCTCCTGTCATTGCAGTTCCAGTGAACGGTGATGCCGGTGTTGCCGGTGTCGCCTC